AGAGGTATGACATCGAAATACACACCAAATGATAGCGAATTGATCAAGGATCACGATAGTGAAGGTTTCAAGTCGATATCTCCTACCGTTTTACCGCAATCGGCGCCGAAATCTGAAAAAGTAAGATTTTTCCAAAAATTTGACCTTTGACCGGTCATAAGTAGGTCAAATGCTGACCTAGGACCAAAAAATATATCACCAATCGCGAGATCTCGTTGAGCGCAATCCGTTGTTTTTTCCGCTAAGCTCTACGACGCTCCGTTTTCAAACGCCAGGGGGGGGTCGCACCAAACCCCCCTGCATGGGCGAAGGTGGCAAAACACCGTGTACGGGCGAGGGTTAACACATTTTTTACATGATTCGTATCTTATTCACGAATCAGCAAGCCATAGCGGATAGAAAAAAGAAGATGTTGGTCTCGCTTCCTCAGTTGGAACATGGCCGAATCTGTACTTTTTATGTTTTGACCATCTAGATTTCAAACATTTGGCTGGTGCCTGCAACATTTTAGGAGAATGTGGAAAAGTAGAACACCTGTGAAATGTAAATGTGAATGTGATTACTGCTCATTGTTCAGTCTTCAGAAACACATATAAGTAATTCAAGTTCTTTTTGTCCTTGCTTTTTTGATGAATGTGTTTATGCTTTGTTTGTAGGCAATACCTATTTGATAACAGGTGATATTTTGATAGTTATAGACTGGAATTGAGTTTCAAAATTGTGGGTATTTGTGGGGCCAACTAAGCCAAAATCAGCCTGCTGGTAGTTGTGGTTGGACAATGGATGGCTGCTGGGTGGGACTGTTACTGAAACTGCTCAAAGGTGGCATCTCTTGTAGGGGTAAGCTAGAATCAAGAATGCAGCTTTTTTAGTATGCCGGTAATTTCGCGGTTTTTTTTGCTTGGGGCGTGGTAGCATGCCAGTATCCAAGAAAATTTTTGTGGGGCGGGGTGGTGCCGGTTGCAGCCCTTGGGGAAACTTTGCAACTGTAGTTGGCCACAAATGATGTCAGAATGACGTCATGTTCTGCCATTTTCGACCGATGCTCTAAAATGGTTTACCCAGAACAGATTAAAAATCAACCCCTCTAAAACTGAGATGATCATGGTAAAATCGCAACGATTGAAAACCGAAACTCCATATCCATTTTGGAAACTCTCAAATTTTCCCGGTACAGTCGGTGAGGGTGCTGGGCGTCGCCGTTGACGACGCCATGACATGGGACAAACACATATCATACACTCTGCGCCGGTGCTATAGTGTACTGATCGGTCTGTCAAGGATTCGACACCGCGTGCCGCGCGAGACCCGTAAGCTCCTGATTGAAGCGCTAGTCTTCCCGCTAATAACGTACTGCATGTCTGTATGGGGCGGTTGCACAGTCACACAGCTCAGGAGACTGCAGAAATGCATAAACTTCTGTGTCAGAATCGTAACGAACCTCAGGCGCTGCGACCGTGTGACAGCGTCCCGCAAGGAACTGGGATGGCCTGCTGTACAGGAGCTACTGCGTGAGCATGATCTGCATGTTATATTTAAACTGATGCATGACTCGCAAACCCCTGATTCGATCCGCAGCCGCGTCGTCCACCGTACTGCGGTGTCGAGCCGCAGCACTAGGCGCCAACCAGTGACGGTCAGCTTCATGTCCCGCGCGTGCGAACTGAGCTTGCCCGGCGCTCATTCATCTGTCGCGCAACTCGTTCATGGAATGAGTTGCCTGCGCCTGTTCGAAGCTGCACCGGTCTGGCGGCGTTCCGTAAAAAGGTTAAGAAACGGCATGTTTAACCCGCGCACCGACGGGGGTCTGCGCCAACTTAGTACCGACGGGGGGGGGCGGATGACCGCCCCCCCCTGAGATCTCGAGAACGAAGCAAGATAGCGACAAGCGGTAAACGGCATCGGATACGCACGGACAAGGTCTACAATTTTTACTAAGGTCATTTTCAGGTCAGGTCAAAGATGACGTCACAGGGGTCGAAAAAGTCAAAATGGCGGCGCTAGATATGGAGAGGGTTTTTCTCGAATAACTTTCGAAGGAGTCAAGATAAGAACAAACTAAGGGCATCATCGTGATCCTCTCGTCAATCCGCATCGAATGATATATATGTTGACCTCGAAAGGTCAAGGTCAAAGGTTGACCTCAGGTCACGTGACCTCGAGGTCATCATGTATATCATTCGATGCGTCTTGACGAGCTGAACACAATGAGACCATCCGCGCGGCTGTATCTTGTTCCTGTAAGGAGTTATTGGCAAAAAACCTTTGGTGACCTTTGATGACGTCACATGACCTTACAGCTGCCCAACAGCAAAACAGACCTCAAGGTAGTGAAGGTTGATCGTATGTGAAGTCATGTATGGTATATGGGGCCATTCCGACCCGTTTTAGTGGTAAAAACAGGGAGTTGATTTTTCCCCCATTGACTTATAATGGGGAGGTCGCGAAATTGACCTGACCTTAGGTCACCGACATCAAAATTCCGAGATATACAAATTGTAGCTACTAATGACCTAATAACATCCTGCGACTTTCAAAGGCCTCCGACATCTACTGTAGCTCTGGCACGGTGACAAAGTTGCAAAAAAGTGACTTGAGGTTGGGTCATTCAAAGTGACCTGGTGACCTGACCTTAAAAGTTAGGAGGTTCAAACTTGCACACCATGTGTAAAATTGATGAGAGATTAGTCATATCAAATTTCGCGGCGCTACGCGCCGCGGTTTTCCCGCTATCCGCGAAAAACCTCAGGGGGGGCGGATATCCGCCCCCCCGTCGGTGCGCGGGTTAATCCGGCTGTGCTAGGTCAATGTGGTCAGTTAGTTTATCATGTGTGATGTGTTTTAATCTCTATAGAATCTGTCCTGTATGTATAGGTATGAGTTTTGAACTACTGAATGTATGACGTGGTTTACTGAAAACCCAATTTCTTGGATGTAACCGAAATATATGAGTATGAGTATGAGTATGAGTATGAGTATGAGACCGAAAAAAGAGCTTCGCGAGAAGAGTTGTCAGGCCTACAGCTTTGAAGATACAAAAAATGATCAAAACAAAAATGGTGTAGAATTGACAGGGCTACAAAACTGCTATCTCAGATTTTTGGTTTTTGTTTTAATTTTGACCCCCAAAAATCAAAAAAGTATTTTTTTGGATATATTAGCCAGAAACTCCATAAAGTTTTTTGAGTTTATAACGGAATATATGTTAGTACCTACCGTCTTCTATCTACACACCAAATTTCAGATCCATATATCTTTTTTTTGGCCAAGTTATAGCGAAAAAACTGTTCAAAAATGATGACGTCAATTTTTCAAACTCATTTTTTTTTTGGCAATTTTAGACCAGGTAGAGCAAAACAAAGACCATCATTAATTAGACTACCCGTGACGAGCTGCATTGAATCGATACCCATTTTATGCAAAAATATTAACCCTCGCACCGACAGGGGCGGATATCCGCCCCCCCTGAGGTTTTTCGCAAATAGCGGGAAAACCGCGGCGCGTAGCGCCGCGAAATTTGGTATGACTATTCCCTTATCAATTTTACACATGGTGTGCAAGTTTGAACCTCCTACCTTTCAAGGTCAGGTCACCAGGTCACTTTGAATGACCCAACCTCAAGTCACTTTTTTGCAACTTTGTCACCGTGCCAGAGCTACAGTAGATGTCGGAGGCCTTTGAAAGTCGCAGGATATTATTAGGTCATTAGTAGCTACAATTTGTATATCTCGGAATTTTGATATCGGTGACCTAAGGTCAGGTCAATTTCGCGACCTCCCCATTATAAGTCAATGGGGGAAAAATCAACTCCCTGTTTTTACCACTAAAACGGGTCGGAATGGCCCCATATACCATACATGACTTCATATACGATCAACCTTCACTACCTGGAGCTCTGTTTTGCTGTTGGGCAGCGGTGAGGCCATGTGACGTCATCAAAGGTCACCAAAGGTTTTTGGCCAATAACTCCGTACAGGAACAAGATACAGACGCATGGATGGTCTCATTGTGTTCAGCTCGTCAAGGCGCATCGAATGATATACATGATGACCTCGAGGTCACGTGACCTGAGGTCAACCTTTGACCTTGACCTTTCGAGGTCAACATATATATCATTCGATGCGGATTGACGAGAGGATCACGATGATGCCCTTAGTTTGTTCCTATCTTGACTAATTCGAAAGTTATTCGAGAAAAACTCTCTCCATATCTAGCGCCGCCATTTTGACTTTTTCGTCCCCTGTGACGTCATCTTTGACCTGACCTGAAAATGACCTTAGTAAAAATTGTAGATCTTGGCCGTGCGTATCCGATGCCGTTTACTGCTTGTCGCTATCTTGCTTCGTTCTCGAGATCTCAGGGGGGGGGGGCGGTCATCCCCCCCCCGTCGGTGCGAAGTTGGCGCAGACCCCCGTCGGTGCGCGGGTTAACTTTGAAATTTGACCTAATGTGACCTGACCTTGACCTGCCCTTCACCAGAACGTAACCTAAACTGGCCCCAAAGGCTGCCTGACCCAAATAATCGCATTTTTCATTTAAAATGGACCATAAAACATGTATAACACAACACTTTCATATTGTGACCCCCAGACCCCAGTGACCTGACCTCTGTGACCTGACCTGGTATCTTTGCTTTGCTATCTGACCTGGACCTCAGATAGCAAAGTATGTGTTTGACGAACAATGTACCATCGATGGTTTTCAATAACTTACCAATTTACTCGATTTCACAGGTCAGGTCAAAGATCGGATTTTCAGGTCGTCATCGGTTTGACCTAGGTCAATGAAATTTGAGAGGGAGAGAAAGAAAGAAATGAGAGGGATAGGGAGAGAGAGAGAGCGAGATAGAGAGAGAGTGAAAGAAAAAAAAAGAAAGAAAGAAAGAAAGAGAGAGAGAGAGAGAGAGAGAGAGAGAGAGAGAGAGAGAGAGAGAGAGAGAGAGAGAGAGAGAGAGAGAGAGAGAGAGAGAGAGATTTGACATTATCTGATTTTCCTTGCAGGTACTACACAGCAGTAAGGTCTCATGAATTCTACTACATCGCTATGGAACTTGGCGTTTGTACAGTCAACGATTACGTGACGAAGAATGACAAATTCATCAGGCTTCGGAACATTGATGAAGCCACAATTCGGAGCATTGATGAAGTCAAAATACTCCGTGACTCTTCAGAAGGACTGGAATGGCTGCATAAAAGACAAATCAGTGAGTAGCAAAAGGAAGAGTGAGGCAAAGTGGCCACCGTAAGGCCCAGGCTCCAGGACGCGATTTTTTTGTGCTATTTTGCGATTTTGCGATAATGCGATATCGCGATATCGCAAAAAGCTAAAAAAATCTGATTTTGTTTCCGATAATACGATAATGCGTGAGCGATAATGCTGGCATTTAACCCTCGCAGGCCGAGTGGGGGGGGGGGGGCAGGTGCCGCCCCCCATAGAGGTTTTTTTTCTTCGCGATAGCTCCGAATACGCTGGCGATAGAGAGCTGAAACTTGGCATACCTGGGGCCGTATTCATGTTGATCATTTTCGTAAGAATTTTATTAAGGTTGATCTACTTCTTAAGTAATTTCTTTTTATTCACGTGAACTCCGTCGATAAAAACTTAAGAAGTGTCGACGTGAATACCAAATTATACTTACGAAAGAAAATCGACTTACGAAGTCGACGTGAATACGGCCCCTGGCCTTTGATTGAAGCCAAATCTTTTGACAGCAACTGCATTTTCAGGTCAGGTCAGGTCACTGACCTGTGACGTCATAAGTGAACCTATGCACGGTCTTCAGATGTCGCAACTTCGCAACGCCCTCACTGCCAGAGAAACTTTCACAGGGAAATGAAACTTGCAGGATCTAGTTGCAATTACGAGTCTCACAACTTGTATTTCGTAAAGGTAATATGAGGTCAGGTCATTTTCGTGACCTCACTATTATAAGTCAATGGGGAAAAATTAAAACTGCTATTCCGGCGCCGGGAACGATCTTTAACTATCTCAAGCACACAGAATCGTGATTTGAAGCACTCCTTGCAAGGTAAGATGCGTCACTTTTGCAATGTTGACCTTGCGTGACGTCAATTATGACGTCATCAAGGTCATATTAGTTTTTCGTCAATAACTTCCGATCAAATTCAGCTAGCGAGTCGGGAAAGCCACCAATGGACTCAACAAGATCTGCCGTTTCGAATGATAATGGTCATTTCACGATGGAACCGTGCAAATTATATTAGCGGGAAGTTGCGCCCTAGTCACCTCCCACCTCCGCCAGCGCCAGGTCGTGCCTCAACACGGAACGGGCCGTGCCACCTAGGTGCGCCGGGGAGAACTACAGGTCGCATAGTGCCACCAGATGTCGCGCAAACACGACAGGCGCAGATAAATAGATTTTAGATCGTGGGTGATATATTGCAACAGCGTTGATTTCTACCATGCATGTACAGGGTGATTTTTTTTATTTGTTAAAAAGTAATGAGGTTTAGTGGGGTTAAAATGCAAATATATATTGTAAAATTATATACCAGCATGACAAGCATTCTGGGACATTTTGATTTCATGCAGACACGATGTGAAGGAACGACCATCGTGTATTTTACTTGTGCTTGAAGTTGCCCCCTCTCTCACCGACACGAATCAGCCCGCCTGAGCACGTGTTGAACAGCATCATGGACTCCCATGCTCATTAGGCGGACTGAAAAGGCTCCTATCACCCATTTTCAGCTCTGCCAGATATTTCCAATGTTTTCTTGTTATATCTGCCATACCTGGGTCCAAAAACTAGAAGTCTAGAAAGGGCAGGTCGAGGATTTTGCTACTGGCGGCCCTGGTGGTGTCTGATTCGCTGTTTTTGTTTCTCCATGAGGACTGATTCTTCAGAGGCTGCACACACGCCAGATGGACCGTTTGAAGGTTATTTATGACTACAAGCTTGTTCGTGCATTATTTAACGTCTTTCTGAGGTATCTCCTTGATGATCGTACGCTTCGAACTGCCTCAATGCTTCAAAATCATCGTTTTGTGTCGTTCCTTACTGAACGGCGGTGGACGATGCGTGCCCGATTGGTGGGACATTTTCAGGCTCCATTGGGGCCGAGGCCTTCGGTTAAAAGGGACAAATCATGACACCATACAAAATGTCCCAGATTTATCTATCACGTGCATTGCTTTTTTGCACAAGATTTTTCGATTTAGGGACCACCATTGACGTTTACTTTTTAACAGTTAAAAAAAATCACCCTGTATTTTAGCAACTCACAGCGTGGGCGCAGGCACTGGAACCACAACGGCTACCACAACTGCACGTAAGTATGTCCGACATACGACTTATGTTTGGACTCTAGGCAACGCTGCCCAAGCGGCCTTTTCCGTTAGGACGCCGAACGACGGAGTGCGCGCAGCAATTTTTTTTTGTCTCCCTCTGTTCTTTCTAGGGCGTCTTTCAGAAGAGCCCAGGAAGGGGCCAGGGGTCGAGGCCAGCCAATGCCAAAACACCGAACTATAGCTCCGCCCGGACTCACTTAGCAACCTTAACGCTAAGCGAAATGATCCAACTTCGTGACCTTGGGGCGCTGACCTGACCGTGACCTGAGGTCAACACCCTAAGTTGACGTGACCCAAACAAATAGTATATCATTCGACGCGCCTGAGCGAGTCGAACACGATGCTGCCAATATCGCGGCTCTGCGGCCACTTTTTGCGAAGTTAGATATTCACCAAAAACTGAACCGCACCTTGGGCACTTGACCTAACCTCAGAGGTCACCAGTTGATCTAGGACCTTAAAATTGGTTATCACTCTCTTCGTTTCGCAACGTCGCACACGCTCATTTTTTCCGCGACGCGCTAGCTCCACCAGGGGCGAAACGGCGAGGGGGGTCGTACCCGCCCCCCCCCCCTCCCTCGGCCGGCGCGTATATAGAAAACCAATAGGTCCAGCGAGGGTTAACCCGCGCCCCTAAGGGAGCCAAAACGGCCTCTTGTTCTTTTCCCTCGATACCTTCTAACTAGCCCGGCACCGCCTGGGCTATTTCCGTACCCACGACAGCCTGGGGGGGTCGGATCCGACCCCCCCCTGTTATCTCGAGAAGCAATGGTCGCATCGAGCCCCGCGAGGCGGCGTTCGAAAGGTCTCTACGAGACCTTCCCAAAGCACTCTTAAGATTTTAAGATTGAGGTCAACTTTCGGGTAAAGGTCAGGTCAAAGGTCAAATTCTGGGGTTTTGCATGATTAGGCTTACGGACAGCGGAATCGATAGCTGATGCTCAAAACTCACCAAAAATGACCTCAAAGGCCTAGTGAAAGTACCATGTGCGTATAGGGGTCATACTAAGTACGGATCAAGGTCAGGTCAGGTCATGAAAGGTCACGGTTTTCACTTTCTGCTACATGGGCGTGCGACACATGTTTTATGGCTTATTTTTCACGCCGAATCCGATGGTAATGGTTATATGTGACCCCAAGTCACTGTTCGGGTGATAAGTGGGCATTGAAAGCATAAAAAATCGTTTATACCATACGTAACTAAACGAGGGCTGAGAAAAAAAGGTCAATTTTTCAACTTTTTATTTTTTACATAAACATGTACTTTTCTAGCCTTGCAGGCGGTGGGGGGGGCATTTTTTTGCCCCCTTTAGTTTTTTCGATATATCTCAAGAACCGCTGCGCCGATCGTCACACAACTTTCAGTACCCTCCCGGGAGCAGCTAGCGCACATGGTGACCAAAAACTTTTCCAAAGGCTATGATAGGTTGGCCGCTAATGACGTCAGAGTGACGTCATTTTTGCCATTTTCGACCCCAAAAAAGGTTTCGCGGGAAGAGCTGTCAGGCCTACAGCTTTAGAGATACATAAAAATGTTTTCGGCATAAAAGGTGTGGAATTAAAAGGGCTACAAAACTGCTATTTCGGTTTTGCGAAGTATTTGGATTTCGACCCCAAAAAATCAAAAAATAGATTTGTTGAATATAATAGCCAAAAAATCCAAAAAGTTTTTTGAATTTTGAAAAAACCGTATTATATGTGATAGTCCCTACCGCCTTCTATCTACATACCAAATTTGAGATCGATACCTCTTTTTTTGGCCAAGTTATAGCGAAAAAACTGTTTAAAATTGATGACGTCAAATTTTTAAACTCAATTTTTAGCAATTCTAGACCTTGTAGCGCAAAACAAAGACCACCATTAGACTCCCCGTGACGAGCTGCATCGAATCGATACCCATTTAATGCAAAAATATCAACTTTGAATTTTGACCTTTTTTGACCTGACCTTTTTTATAAATTTAGTCCGAATGGTTGAATGGGCGGATTTGAGGAGTCAGAGCCCGCACTAAGCATAGCTTGTTGTGCTGACCCTGACCCCACCACCCGATCGCGCAATTCCAGTTGTATGGCAGAATTTTGTTCGAACGTTTAACGTGCCCTCACGACTGGACACGGTCCCCTCCGCTCACTCACGTTACCTGGCTTCTGTGCGGCCCTGCCACAGACACGCACGCCATTACACGTAGGAGCTAAATGTGGCCGCCCGCACCGGGGCTTGAACCGGGCTCTCACCACCGGCTTAGCGTCGACTTCCAGCGCTTTTATCCACTCGGCCACGGAGAGGACAAGGGTCAAGGTCCACGGAGAGGACCTTGACCTGACCTCCACCAGAAAGTGACCTAAACCGTACCTGATGGTCTTATAACCAACACCATTGAGTTGGAAATGAAAAACTGGCCATAAAACATGCATCGCATACAGACTTGTGATCAGCTCAGTTGAGCCGGCTCAAAAATCAGCTCAGCTCATGAGCCGGCTCAACATTTTGCCAAATTGTTGAGCTGTGAGCTGAGCCGGCTCAGTAATGCATTGAGCTGAGCTGCTGTCTGAGCTGAGCTGAATGAGCTTAAGCTGAACTGAGCTGAGCTGATTGAGCTGAGCTGAGCTGAGCTGAGCTGAGCGAGCTGAGCTGAGCGAGCTGAGCTGAGCTGAGCTGAGCTGATTGAGCTGAGCTGAGCGAGCTGAGCTGATTGAGCTGAGCTGAGCTGAGCTGATTGAGCTGAACTGAGCTGAGCGAGCTGAGCAGTGCTGATTGAGCTGAGCTGATTTAGCTGAGCTGAGCTGATCCAGTTCTAATTCTTTTCAGTTCATGCTTGGAAATTAACTCAGGCTTTGATGCTTCAGCTATGAGCTAGCTATAGAGTGAGCAATTACACTGCCTTCGTGATCG